CTAAATTGCAAACGAATTAACATCATCAGTTCATTACCCGTCGGGCCCAAATCAAAAAGCCAATAGAAATTTAGATAACCTTCTCTTTAATAGAGAGGAGACGCTGCAAAATTAGAAATTAGGGCTCTTCTCTTTAAAAAAATTTGGAAAGCTTTAACGGTAAAAAAGGATCAAACTTTTATCTTCGAGACTCAAGCAATTCAGTGCGAAATTCGAGCGATTCTGCCAAGTATCTCTTGGATCTGCACCCAACCTCGGCTTACTACAACCCAAAGAGTCATTCCATGAGACAAGATCCCACACCAAATACTTATCCAAACAACAATTTTTGCAAGGTTAGTTTTCATGAATCGACAATCAAGTATCCTTCTGTTTTCGATAATCTCTATGCAACTAAAACTAATCTTTTGCTTGTTCCAAGGGGAAGAGAGACTTGATGAAAAGAAGTATCATATCAGAGAGCAAGAAGATCAGATCATAGAGCAACAAGAGCTCTACTACAATTTCAAGGACGGTAAGAAAAGACTGAAACTCATGAACGCAGCTGCAAATGGTGATTTACCGAAGTCACATGATTGCATGGGAACTAGACTTGAAGAAGATTTGCTCATGAACGGCCACAAATCGGTTTGGGGGTTGTGGTGGAAGGCGTTCCAATGGGGGTACGCCTGTTGCCACCAAACTGACCGTCAAAGCCACTGCACCAAATAAGCTGCATACATCATGTCTCTTCTTTCTAATAATGTTTGCTTTCTTTGCTTCTTCTAACATGTATTCTGTTTGAAATGGATTAGCTTCCGTTTACCACATTACTTTGGATAGGTATCAATTTAGAAGATTATTCTTGTGTTCGTTCTTGTTACACATCAGCTAGAGAATGAGTATTTAAACTTGTTCATTGTAAACCACACAAACCACTAGTTAAAACAAAAAAATGGTTGTGTGGTTTACAATGATAAGTTTTCAATGGAAAAACATTTAATATAAAATGAGTTTTTTAAAGATCCAAATGATGTTTGGTGACTTCATGGATGACAAAATATCTTAACCCCATAATTTGTGAAAAGACCATGGTCTAAATGTTGTCCAATTTGCTTCATATGCCTCAACTTTGGTCAGTTGTATATATGTTTAAGGAGATTGAGATGATACTTGCTCTAGTTAAGAAAAAAAAATTGTGCCAACGAAATGATCTACTATTTCACAGCATTTACTTGGACGCATAGGAAAGCAATGTCGGGAAAGGTACAAGTATATATCCTGATTCGTTTTCCATGGTTATTTTGTTTAACTCAAAGGTACTTCATATATTAAATTATTGGGCAATAACATATTGTTTATCAACCTCCACCAATGGGCTCAGCCATAAAGGAGGAAATTTACCAAGAACAGCATGATAACAAGATAAGGTATGAGCAAATTTAGCTATTGAATCAGCACATTGGTTGGAGCTTCGGTTGCAAAAAGCAAAGGACGGATGTAGGTGTCGTCGATTGGTGTCTCTGATCTCTTTGGTAAAGATTTGAAGTCACCTCCATTCCTCCGGTTTTCCAATAGCATCCACTACGTGCTTCGAGTCAGTGTCAAAGACGACATGTTGATAACCTATATTGTCCACAAATGACATGGCCCATAAAAGGTTGTGCCTTCTGCCTCCAGGGATGACCTCAGTCTAGGGAATACCTTTGCTCCATACCATTTAACCTCTCCTGTATCATCTCTTAGTATCCATCCAATACCACAGTGTAGCATTTATTTGGACGCATAGGAAAGCAATGTCGGGAAGGTACAAGTATACATTCTGATTCGTTTTCCATGGTTATTTTTTTTTTTAACTCAAAGGTACTTCATATATTAAATTATTGGGCAATAACATATTGTTTATCAACCTCCACCAATGGGCTCAGCCATAAAAGAGGAAATTTACCAAGAACAACATGATAACAAGATAAGGTACGAGTAAATTAAGCTATTGAATCAGCACATTGGTTGGAGCTTTAGTTTGAAAAGCAAAGGACGGATGTAGGTGTCGTCGCTTGGTGTCTCTGATCTCTTTGGTAAAGATTTGAAGTTGCCTCCATTCCTCCGGTTTTCCAATAGCATCCACTACGTGCTTCGAGTCAGTGTCAAAGACGACATGTTGATAACCTAGATTGTCCACACATGACATGGCCCATAAAAGGCTGTGCCTTCTGCCTCCAGGGATGATCTCAGTCTAGGGAATGCCTTTGCTCCATACCATTTAACCTCTCATGTATCATTTCTTAGTATCCATCCAATACCACAGTGTGTAGCATTGATGTCCCATGATGCGTCTACATTACATTTGAAAGCATTGGGTGGTGGAGGCTGCCACTTTATATTCTGTGGAATCATATTGTGTGTTACTAGAGTCTGCATTACATTAGCTGTTTCCCACTCTGCCTAGTCTTCAACTGCTTTGTCCAGAATTTGCTGCGCATTAAACAGCTTGGTGGAGAAAATTAGGTCATTTTTGGACTTCTAAATCCTCCACAATAACCAGGGAAAGAGTCTGAGTATGTGGATGAGCTCCTCAGTTTTGATATCTGGAAATATAAAGGCTCCAAAGTTTATATACACAGACTCAGAAGGCTTAGGAAACATTACCACAACAAGGGGTGAGAGAGCCTAGATTAGTCTGGCAAAAAAATATGAGAATAGTACATGGTTGACTGTTTCAGCAGCCTCTCCAAACCTTGGACAATCTCTATCTGCACTGATCTTTTTCTTAACCAGACTGTCCCAACCGCTAAGCAATTAGATAAGCATCTCCATATAAAATTGTGGATCTTCGGAGTTGTTCTGAGCTTCCAGATTGCTTGGTATAAAGGGTTTAGACTGGGACCACTCTCTCTAGTCTTTTGGATCTGGTTCTATAGCATGTGTGTG